TATTTTGATGTTGATGTTAATTTTGATGCTTTGAATTTAAATGAAACTCTTTCTCTATCTAGCAACTTGGATGCATCTTCTTCCAAAATATCCTTACCCAAGGGTTGGAAGTATGTAGATGCTCATCCTAAAGAGCTAATCATAGGAGACGCATCAAAAGGGGTTCAAATTCATTCTTCTCTTAAGAATTTTTGTGTCAATGCCGCTTTTCTCTCCCAAATTGAACTAAAATGTATTGACGAAGCCTTGAAAGATGATTCATGAGTTATCACAATGCAAAAAGAGTTGAATCAATTTAAGAGAAATGAGGTGTGGAAACTTGTTCATAAACCAAATGACCATTTAGTTATTGGTACTAAATGGGTCTTTAGAAATAAGCAAGATGAACTTGGATCGTGGTTAGAAATAAGGATAGATTAGTGGCCAAAGGTTTCAACCAAGAAAAATATATCGATTATGAAGAGACCTTCGCTCTTGTGGCACGATTAGAAGCCATAAGGATACTCCTTGTCTATGTTAGTAGTAATAATTTTAAGTTGTTTCAAATGGATGTTAAAAGTACTTTTCTTAATGGCTTTATTTCCGAAGAAGTGTATATTGAACAACCTCCCAGATTTGAGAATGATAATTTCTCTAATCATGTGTTTAAATTGACTAAAGCTCTCTATGATTTAAAACAAACCCCAAGGGCTTGGTATGAGAAACTTAGCTCTTTTCTTATTCTAAATAATTTCTCTAAAGATAAGGTCGATACTACATTGTTTATCAAAAATTTTAAAAATAATTTTCTCATTGTTCAAATTTATGTTGATGATATTATTTTCGGTTCCACGAATGAATCTCTATATGAGTCATTTGCTAAAAGTACGAGTCTTGAATTTGAAATGAGTTTGATGGGGGAATTAACTTTCTTTTTAGGCTTACAAATCAAATAACTACGTAATAGTATTTTTCTTAGTCAAACAAAGTATATTTTAGATTTACTAAAAAGGTTTAAAATGGATAGCTCAAAGGCTATCAATACTCCTATGAGCATCTCCACTAAGTTAGACATTGAGGAAAGTGGAGAAAACTTTGATCAAAAAGCTTATAGGGGTATGATATGAAGTTTACTATACCTCACCGCAACTAGATCGGATATGATGTTTAGTATAGGACTTTGTGCTAGGTTTCAATCTAATCCTAAGATATCTCATCTTAAAGCAGTTAAGAGAATACTTAGATACCTTAAAGGAATCACAAATCTAGGATTATAGTATCCAAAATCCGAGAACTTTGAACTAATTGCTTATGTTGATGTGGATTTTGTTGAATGTAGATTGGATATAAAAAATACATCTGGAACATGTCAATTTTTAGGACACGCGCTTATTTCTTGGTCTTCTAAGAAACAAAACTTGGTTGCACTATCTACAACCGAAGCTAGTACATTGCAGCTAGTGCATGTTGTGCATAAGTTGTGTGGATGAAAAACACTTTAGAGGATTATAAGATTCATCTTAAAAACATTCCCATAAAATGTGATAACACAAGTGCAATATGTTTAACAAAAAATCTCATTCAACACTCTAGAACTAAACATATTGATATTAGGCATCACTTTATACGAGATTATGTCAATAATCATGATGTAATCTTAGAGTTTATTGATACGAAAAATCAATTAGCTGACATCTTTACAAAACCTTTAAGTGAAGAACAATTTGATTTCATTAGAAGAGAAATAGACATGTTAAAATGTCCGAATGCATGATTTGTTATATAATTTTTTTGGACTCTCTTTATGTACTTCATGTATGGAGCTTTCATGGATTTATGATGTTTATTCGATACCCTTGCTCTATCATGTAATGATGTTTGATACACTTAGTCCATTCACCCATTGAACATATTGACAAATGCATCTCTCACGGGTTTATCTCTTGTGAATTTTTAATGAGAAATGGATTTGACTAATGAGTTTCTTTTTCATATGACACTTGTCTCCTTATTCTTCTCATGCAAAATGAATTTTATAAATTCATATCTTGATCTTTGAAAGATAAATTTTAGTATGTGATAATCACTTGCAAAAATGAGAATTTGATTGTGTATGATCCTTTTCATGAATACCTTCTCTTTGATTAAAGCATGTTTTAACAAAATATTTTTCAAGTCATTTCACAAATATGGTTCTTGATGGATTCCCTCCTTACTTTCCTTCTTCATGCAAAGTTTTGATAACAAAAGAGAAAAGTAGATGGAATCTCGCTTTAATGTTGATAACATTTAACGATGAGAACTTTTGATTGTGAAACTTGTTTGAATTATTTTACCACACTTGCATTGTTGAATTGTTCACCTTTTTGTTGATGACAAAGGGGGGAAAAATAATACCAAAATATGATAAATTGATGACAAATGAATGTAATATATTTCATCATATATACTTGAAATGTTTGCTTGATAAATTTCTTTCATTATGATAAGATATCTAAAATTTAACTTGCTATTTTGAAATTGATATCTTGCCATAGAATGATGAATAGCTATCTTTATCATCCTTTGAAATATCAAAACTTGAAAATGGATGTCATGCCTTGATATCATTTTGAGAATATTAGATCATGATAGGAATCATGATGTGCATATTGATAAGTTTAATGAACTTAACTTATCGAGTTGATACTTGAATTCAAAGGCTTTGAATTCAAAAATATCATTTCTCAAGTATGACATATAGATAGGGGGAGTTAATGTTAACTCCGTCATCAATTGATTGTCATCATCAAAAAGGGGGAGATTGTTGAATCTCGGATTTTGATGATAAAGTCAATTGTGTATCGTTTGATTTAATCTATATGTTGAGAAAAGTATACATGATTAACGATAGCAGTAAGACATAAAGCAAGTATTGTGTCGGAGTCACGATTGAGATCTCGTTGGGAGTTCAAGAGTTCGTCGAAAGTTCTGCTGGAACTAACCGAGAAGTCCAGAAGCTTGTCAAAGAAGCTCACCGAAACTTGCCAAGAAGATCATCATAAAGTCCAGAAGCTTGCCGGGAGTCCATCGGAATATTGTCGAGAGTTCGTCGGATGTTCGCAGGAAGTTCGTTGGAAGCTCGCCGGAAGAGCAATTGAAACACCGGAACAAGAAGTGCTATGATTATGTTTTATTTATTATAGTTAGCACATAATTTAAGTTAGAATTAGGAGATAATCCTACTAACTTAATTAGGGGCCAACTAGGCCCTTAACATGGCTAAAATGGGCCGAATTGAGTAGCCCATTCAGCACCTGAAAGCCTAGCCGACGGTGGCACCGCCTGGGAGACTCGGTCTCCTAGGTGGTTTGGGCGGTGGTACCACCCAGTGCCAGGTGGTCTGGGTGGTAGTACTGCCCAGTGTCAGGCGATGGTACTGTCTAGTGTCAGGCGATGGTACTATCCAGTGTTAAGTGGTGGTACCGCCAGTACCCTGAAATCTAGGGATAAGACACTTTTAGGCTCTAATTTTGAATTTGTTTGAGCCTATAAAAACTCTATCCTTTTTTGCATAAAATGATACGAAAGTATTGAGATAATCTTGAGTAATTGGGGTGTAAAAGTGTTATAAACAAAGTACTAGAGTCCTCATCCACCCTTCCTAAGTTTTGAAATCATTCAAGAGAGGTGTGAGACTTGTAAGGGTTCTCTCCTAAACCCAAGAAAAGGAGAAGCGTTGTAAAGAGGTGGTTGGTTTTTGCCTATTGAAGGAAGGCCGTTAGTGGACGTCGATGACCTCGTCGGAGGAGGAATCCGAAAGTGGATATATGTCACATTGACCGAACCACTCTAAATTCTGGTTTGCTTTTCATTTGTGTAATTTACATTACTGCAAATCTCCATAATCCTCTCTTGCACTTTTACGAAAGCTTTCAAGTTCAACTTCTCTCCGAAACAAATTGAATCGAAATCATTTTCGTCAGAATCGGTTTTAAACGAAACGAATTTTTTTTTTGAAATTATGAAAGTTTTTTGCTGCATTAATTCATCCTCCCCTCTTAGTGCCGCTCTTGATCCTAACAATATAGTCATAAGATCTGAAAGTCGCAATGATACTGATATGTAAGGAGAACTAAACTCGTATTTTTCTCTCTTTTTATCATTTACAGAACTACTATAAGCGATGGATTAGGAAGCAAGGGGAGATGAGAGAATATCTATAATCTCTTCGATTGGTTAATCCATGAAAGTTCTATAAGGGAAGATAGAGAAGATATATAATTTTTTTGATTGATTTGAAAGGTTTTATCATATTTATAAGCGAGAGTAAAAAGATTTGGATGGTAATTACAAAAATCTTTCTTAAATCTTATCATAATTGAATTTCCTTTGTATCGATCGATAATCACAATAAAAATATAATGAAATCTATAATATATTTTAACTAATTAAATATATTATATTAAATTTATAAAATAAAAAATTACTTACCCTTTGATTGCTGACTTTGTCATCGATATGCTTACGGTCGTGAAGCTCAATCGAAGCGTTGTTATTGTTGCGTCTTCCCTTCCGAGTACTGAGCCACAGCCTTGACATGCTTCTCGAGGGCCAAAGCAAGAAGGAGAGCGCCGTGATCACGCTGCGGAACGCAAGCGACACGGAGATAGAAGCGCCTACCTGGGTCTGTCGAAGACGATTTTGGAGGAGCAGCAGCAGCATGCAGCCCTGTTCCGACTCTCCACTGCCACGCTTCCTTCCTCTTTATCTCTGCTCGGGCGAAGCTGGTAAAGTGGTAACAAGACCGAAGGCATGAAGGCAGGAGCGTCGGGATGCAACGCCTTCACGCTTGTATCATCGTTTGTGACGGTCTTTTAAGTATTATTATCTTTCTTTCTTCATCTTCCAGCAAAGATAACGAGAGGCAGTCCATCCACCATGTAAGAAACGCCTCATCTCTCAAAAAGGATCCACTAAATAAGTTATCTCTAGTCAGATGCATGAAAGAACCTTACACTGTAGAAGAAAGCCAGAAAGAATGCAGTAGAGGGGTATTTTTGCATGTATGATATGATCAGATCATATGATCATCATTACAACAAGTTCTACCAAGTACATGACAAGTCTTATTGGTTACAGAATCTTACCTGAATCATTTCGACCAAAATACAATTGTGGAGAAGATGAAGTCTTAATAACGGAGGACTTTTCTGCCTTATAGTGTAGTGGAATTCAGTCAATATTGGGGCACATCTATTTCCACACTATTAAAACAAAACTGTACATGGATACAACGGTGAAGGCCTTGGAAGTCAACTTTGGATTATGGTCAGCAGGATGCTCGACATTAATCTTCTGTCACCTATATGTTCTCATCCTCCTCGTCACCGAAGAACTGACATGCTCCACCATCTCGCCTTCCTGCAAAGCAAGAAAATGGAATATCACTGTTTCTTGATATCCAATAGATTTCTAATCAAATGAGTACGCATGCTAGAAGAGAGACTCTTCTGGGTAGAACTAGCAATCCTCCTGATTTACATGACAAGGTGTTCTTTTCAGTGAATATGCTCCGGTAATCTCATTTCCATTAATAAAATGATCAAGCTATTGCTTCACAAACTCCAAACTGAATCCAAGAATAGTATATTAATTGATAGTAACAAACAGGCCTAAGCACAATAAATTGTTACTTGAGTTCTTGTTAACCAACAGCTGCAATGCTAAGAAATTTCTACCCAACATTATGATTTAAACAACTATTTAAATGGTAGAGGAGCAACTGTGCTATCTAAGTTCCAATATTACATCCAATTACCACAATTTAACAAATTCCTGGATAGATAAAAAGGAAAATGGCATGCGCATGCAAAACCTAAAAATGCACCACCAGAAAGGTGCATCATGCAGTCTGACGACATTTGGTATGATCAACTTTATACAAAGCAATTGTAACTTGGAAGAAGCGACTTTGAATGGAACTTTAAGAATTATTGACCAACCTGTCCAATCTGTTGGAGACTGGATCACATGATTAATTTCACTTCCGGCAAAATTTTGGTGAACGTCATTTTCTTTACTTCTTATAAATCTTCCTGTACATTCTGTTGAGGATCCAAGTGTGGCTGGATTTAATGCTAGTCCAGATTGTACTGAAGTGGATAATTTTCCAGCAGAAGCAGCTGCTGGTTTAGCATCACTGAAGTCTCCATCACTATCAGCCATGAAAGATCCAGCAATTACCTGCACCGCATCAACTAAAAACGACCATTAATGGTAGTACAACACTGGTATTAGAAAAAAAAAAGGATAACAACACCAGATCCATAATTGACCTGTACAGGCTCTGCAGCCAATAAAGGGCCTTTGACTCCACCACCCACTACACGGCCATCGGTACCGGAGAGGCATATACTAAGCCCACCCATCTTCATTGATGCCCCATCAGTTCTATTGTGCACAAAAGACCCAGAAAGTGATAGAATCTCAAACCTTCCCTGGAAAAGGCTATATAGGACGTCTTAACAAATGTGTAGAGCGGTTGCTTCCTAAAGAACTTAGATTGCAGGTAGAAGTAAATAATGCTATATTTGTCTTCCACGATATAAGCCCCAAATAGCTTAAACTAGGAATACTATATGATAGAGCTAACAAGTGCGCATAACTAATAAACTGTTGCATTGGCAAGAGAACTAAAAAGACAAAATTGAGCTGGCACAAAAGGCAACAACAGATGGATAATTTACATAACCAGAATGCATGTGAGAGTAAAGCAAGGTTTTCAATTTCAGATACTGGACCATACGACTCATGATCCAACCGGTATGGGCCCAAGATGTACCAGCAATACCGTGCCCTACGTCAGTACATACCCAAGTTTCAGAAAAAAACTGAATAAGGCTCAAAAATAAAGAAAAGTTATTGTCTGGTACAAGTCCTGTGTTGAGCAACACAGGGCTTGTACCGGACACACCACCTAGTTAATCCTGGTTCGGACATATCGATTATATATTTCAAAATATTAAGATTATATATCTGAATACAGCTGTATAAAGAGAACAAGCAGTCTGCTGACAGGAATGTCCATTCCTGGTGTGGATTATATCACTTGGATACTGCAACACACAGGATAACAACTTAATGGCAAAGATCATAAATAAAAACAAAAATTTCAGGCACTTCAATGAGTACAGGATCATTCTATCTACAAACTGCATGTGCAGTTGCAACTTAATTTCTCAAGACTGCATGACACAACCACTATCCGCTTTAAACATGTACCCCTTGCAAAGCTGCTCCTGGCCCCTGTCATCCTACCATTATAGCTCTCAGTGGTTGCTGCCACTCCAAAGTCCAACCATGAATGAATTGTCCTTGAAAATGCAGGATACCAAACAAAAATAGATGCAAATTGTAGCCAGAATATATGCAACCAAACAACCAAATTGCTCTCTAGATGCAGCATCTACAATCACATTGCATTTCTAATGCAGATATTTCTAATTTCAATCAGCCAAATTGTCCACAAGTCTAATTTCAATCATCCGCATGCTTGTAAGAGAGGGCATATAATGGAAACACAACTAAGGAAAAGGCAAACCTGAGATCGTAGCACATAAAATCAAACTCACAACAATGGCGAAGATCATGAAGTTACTTCGGCAAAAATTTAAAACAATGAAGTGGCAAAATGGCACAAACAGTGAACAATGAACACTCCCTTGAATGAGTATACAAATATGGCTCGTTTGTGCACTTAAGAAATACTATTACTGAAGCAACAGTGATAATGGAAAATATAAACAAATAGAGTAACTTAGGTGCACAAGCACAAAAGTTTTAACTTTGTGTTTCCCTTTTACTTATTTAAATCCAATTTTGCTTCATATATGTGTATGCATGTATACATGTGTGCATATGTATATATTCAAACATATGTTCAGATTGCAGAGAGGCCAAAAAGCAGAAATGAGAGTATAAGATCAGCTTGCCTCATAGGTTACACATCCTCCAAAGACAGCCGGATGACTAAGAGATGCCCTAGAAATTGAACCAGATGCTGCGAGAATACAAAATGTGTGCTCGAGATGTTGTACAAATGACATAATTTTCTGGGCCACATCCTTGTCAAAAGTAAAATTTTCAGTGTTACCATGTTGCCAATAGAAAATATATTACTGTTACATATATCTGTGTGTTATATCAATCAAAAAGATAAACTAATAAATAGAATGCAATCAGTTCCTTCTACAAATTAAAACTACATTGATGAATTAGCCGCTAATGTTTTAAGTTGAGTAAACCAAACAAAGCGCGCGTGTATACATATACATATACATATGTATACATATACATATACATATGTATACATATACATATACATATCTATACATATACATATACATATCTATACATATACATATGTATATATAAACATATACATATGTATATATATACATATACATATTTATATATATACATATACATATATATATATATACATATACATATATATATATATATACATATATATATATAAGTGGCACCTAAACTATAATGGTACTCCCAAATAACATGAAAAGATATGGAGATATGGGTATTTCCATGATAGGACCACAGGACCACATCTTTTTGACACTTTTGACACCCCCCCCCCCCCTCTCCTTGGAACACCTCTCACTGTTTTTTAACCATTACAACAAAACAGCCAGTGGGACCCTAATAAAATGGAGAAAATATAACATGAACCTCTACACCAAAGGACACTCATCTCTTCATATAACTATACACATGCACTCACCAAAAGACAGACCTACTACAAAGACACAAAGACGAAAACAAAGAGATACAACAAGACAAATACCTTTCATGAACAGGTTTATTAACCAACATAGAGTGCATATCATTTCTGCTACAAAAAAGAAATGCATAGATCAGAAATGAGTGTAATTCGGGTACAGTAACAAAAAACAAACAAACATATAGGTACATATAGGAAAAGGGTAGTTTCAGTGGACCCATTTATAGTACTCAAATTGCCAGTGTCATGAGAACATAAAATATCAATAAGGTTCACAACAAGCCTGAAGAATAAAAGGACTGTCACTACTGTTAACATTGTAGGTCAGACAGACTACTGGATCAGTCCAACTTGATCTCTAAAATCACTGGTCTGGTTATTTGCTTGCTTATAAGATTATGACATCCACTCATGGAGACCCCTATTCCTAATCTACATTTTCTTGCTTCCTGTTAGTCCAACAGCCACATAGATCTACAGAGTTAAGTGAAAATGCTTTTATATCACCAGCATTCAGAGATAAAATACCTCTCATCCTTTAAATTGCTTTAACATCCGAAAAGAGAAAGAAAAAGAGATCCAATTCAAGGAATCAACACCAATAAATAAAATAAGAAATTTCTGTGAAAATATAACATTTTTTGTGAAAAACATGCAGGTTTACAATGTAGATGATTAATATGGATTATCTCTATCCAACAAACTAGAGGAAGATTCTGAGATCAAAATTGAGGACTAATTGTATAAGAAATTTACGAAGGCTACATAAGCGTAAAAATCAGAAACTTACATTCATTCTCTGAAACTAGTGCAACTAACCATGATCTAGAATCATGCAGCACAACAATTGCTGCAACTACCTAGTGCAATCATCAATTGATTTTATTTATACAACCCAAAATAATATAAGTGTTTTAGACTATGTGGCAACAAGACCAAATATATTAGATGCCAAGAGAAGAATAAAGAATTAAATAAAACTGATAGAAATGAAGTTCCCAGAAATAAATTTTAGTACCTCTGATATACTATTCAATAAGAAGGAGAGATTGATGAAGATAATGCTTTTAGTCCCAGAGTTCAATATAATTCTCACTAATGGCTTATTGTGTTTAAATTTATCAAGATCATGGAACAGTTGGATATTGTGACTTAGGAAGTGAACTGAATAAAAAATTTAGTACACCTCTCCAGCTACAACTGTAATCACATGTGTCTTGAACCCATGCCCTGCATTCCCTGCAAAAGAACGCTTGGCAATGAAAATTTTGTAGCTGCATATTTTTAGTTAATAAATGGGATGCTGAAACATTTAATTTGATATAAATATGATTTAGTCACAAAGCAAAGAAAACACTGTTATTTGAACTCCATGCCGATGACATGCCAATGTTTCATATGATCTCTGGCACAAGCCAATAATAGGCAAAAGGCACCCTCTACATAGGATGGACCTATGGCAACAGGACCAACGCAGACTCAACATAACTGAAACTCAAAACATGTCATTAATTATTGGGTGCACAGAACAGTAGTGTTACAACAGCAAATAAAAGAAAGGAGTTGCTACTTAGACAAACAACAACTAGAAGTTGTAATGTCCCAGCTATTTGGGGCCGGCCATATAGATCCTTTGCCACAACTGAACCTTATAAAAAGTAATATCCTGAGTTAAATTAAGAGAATTTAAAACTTTATTTACAGTTTTTAGTAATCCTTCTCTTCCTGACTCTTCTTGGCAACAGAATCTACCTTGGCTGATCCATGAATCTTTATCAAAGTTATATATTGTTTGGTCTTCTAGTTTTATAACAACTCCTGACATGTTGAATTTTTCCCTAAATGCATAGATGGATATCTAAGTATTAAATGGTTTTATTATTTATAAAATAAAAATTTTCATATTCTTAACATGGATCCCTCATATGTTTGCAAATGAACCCATGGACATCATATGTGTTATGCAGCACCTAGGCCTCCTATGTGCTAGTTCCACTTTTCACAACACTTGGAATAATTGCAATAATAAGTATTCAACAAAATTAGCAAATCATTTATGACATAAATCATCACCATAGTATGAACTAGTAAGCAAACTTAATTCCTGGGCTGAAACCAATGCTGAACCTATCCTTTGACTTGGAAATCACTCTTTCATACCACAAGCAAGCAACATGAGATAAGCAATACTTTAGTTCCAAAGACAACATTATCTAGAGAAACTTTGGTGTGATGAGTAACAATATTCCAACTAATGAGAGCATGTCTTGGTAGAATGATATAACAACCTCTCTACTTGTAGGGTAAGATTGTGTATACTAATCCCCTAGAGCCTGCATCGGTGAGAGCCTCATGCATTTTGCCCCTTTTTTTTCTGACCTAATGTCCAAACTTCATTATCCTGGTTAGTTTTGCAATTAGGTGATAACAATTGATCAATCATGACAGAAAAAAAGTGTATCATGTGCCCCAAAAACCAAAAAATAAAGGACTCAAATGTTGGTGTTTCTCATCCTGAACTAAGCCAATGTGCCAGATATACATCACTATCATCTCAATCCTATCCTTTAAGCAATATAACAATGTGAATAGAGATATGTTCAATCATAAATCCAGGATAAACCAGGCACTGAACAGGTGCCCGGTAAAAATAAAGAGAAAGTATCCATTCTCCTTACCATAATTATGATTAAATTAACCATAAGAGGCACAAAATAATCAAACAAGCTTTGTTGCACATTCAAGTTACAGCTTCCGAGTTTACTCTTTATCTCAAAAGACTCTTTAGTCCAATCTTAATTAATGATAAAAATAAAGATAGAGTAGGCATCGAAGCAACCCGACAAGGCCATGTAGTCATATATATCAAGTTGGCAAAATAACCAAAATCAGTAGCCTCTAGCTCAATCATAGCTCAAGGATAAACCTCTAGCTCAATCATAGCTCAAGGATAAACCAGGCACTGAACAGGTGCCCAATAAAAATAAAGAGAAAGAATCCATTCTCCTTACCATACTTATGATTAATTAACCATAAGAGGCAACAAAATAATCAAACAAGCTTTGTTGCACATTCAAGTTATAGCTTTCGTGTTTACTCCTTATCTCAAAAAACTCTTTAGTTCAATCCTAATTAATGATAAGGATAAAGATAATAGGCATGGAAGCAACCCGACAAGGCAACGTAGTCATATTTCAAGCTGGTAAAATAACCAAAATCAGTATCCCCTGGTGAGCATCAACAGAAGAAAGAATAGATCCAGTGACATGATCCATGTGGGCCCATTTTATTTGCTATCAATGAAACTAGTTGGCTTAACACTTACCATGATTGTTAAGACCTCAACGCTTACAATAAGGATTTTGCTGCTTCATATGTCTGAGTTATTGAATAGTGGAATAAGCTCAGTGACATGATCACACTATATTCAGAAACCTCAAGCCCTAATTACGTCAAAAGTTATAAATAATGATGTATCGAAATGATGTCTTCTATTGTTACTAAAATTAGGTTTTTATTTTTTTATTTTTCTAGAATCTAAAATGAAATGGAGTCATGACACCCTACGAAGCTCTATTCCAGCAGAAGCCCTCCACAAGCACCTAATCTCCCTACAGATGAAACCAATCTGAGCCCTAAAGGAAACGTACAAGCGGCCCTTCGTTCATGAAGAACTAATCAAAATTGGCATTGGCCAGGATCTTTCTCGAGCAGTACCAAGCCAAAACCAAGCGCACCAGCGCAATGAAGAAGAAACAGATCGTGAACCGAAGCATCAAAAAGGGAAACCAAGAAAGGGCAAGAAGCATTGGACTGACCCGGCGCTGCGAGCTTAGCTTTCTTGGACGAGGAGGGTGACGCGGAAGAGCCGTCCCTCAGGCGAGCAAAGGCGGAAGGAGAAGTCGGGGAAGAAGACGGCACAGGCAGAGTCGGCGAGTTGATCATCTGGGAGGAGGAGCGGGAAGGGGAGGGGGAAGGGGGGCCGTACTTCCTCGGCCGGCCGCGCTTCCTACGGACGGGCTCGGCCGGGGGCGGCGCGTAGGCGGCGGACGCCCCGGAGGCGGAGGAAGGCGGGGCGGCGGAGAACATTGGGCTCCGGGCGGAAGAGGAGGTGGCGCCGCCGCCTCCGCGGTGGTGGTGAGGCGAGTAGTAGGCGGAGAGGGCGCTATCGGCGCCGTCCATTCTCGGTGGAGAGAGCGTCGAGGCGGGACGAGGAGGGAACACAGAGGGATGTGGGATTTGGGATGGGGAATTTTTCTGCCTTTTCTATTATTAAAAAATCATTTACTCTGCAATAAAAATATTTTTTTAATAATAAAAATAATAATTTAATTTTTAACATTTTTTCCATAGTTCTTTCCTTTATCTTCTCTTAATTTGCATTTATATATTACATAAAATCACATATATATATATATATATATATATATATATATATCCCTCGAAAATTAATTATTTTAATAATCCATTGAAGATTAGTATACTGATTTTGAAACTCAAATTAAATTAATATTTTTCTTTAAAAAATGTATTTCTATATATTTAAAAAAAAATATTTTAAATATGATAATAATCGTGATAAGTAATAATTCACTTTAGTTTATTGAACGGACGAATGCGCTATTTCCAAATATTAAAAAGGATCCTAAATGTTGTATTATTATTAACCTAACAAATAATTTTGTTTCACGTTATTATTCCTCTAGTCATGCATGATTAAAAGATAATAAAATGTTTAACATTATCGGAAGGCACTGAAAAAATAATTTGACCATATCAAAAACACATAAATATTCAGTATAAAACTATTTTTCCCACATGAAATTAAGTGTTGAATATTTTGTGAGATATTGTAAGTATGGGTCCCACTTTTTGTCCTTAGTCTGTAAAAGGATAAGAGCATGACAAAGTTGGTATCCATGCAGATGTGGTTTTGGTCGCAGTGCATGTTTTGCCCTCCGGACTGAGTTAGGCTTAAATTAGTCAGAGAATTATTTTTCTTATATTTCACATAATAATTACTCCGATCAATTTTTAACGCAATTTAAAAAAAATTTAACGCTATAATAAACATTAAAATCCTATTAAGTTTTGCTATAATATACATAAGACATCCAATTAAAATCCCTTGGTGAGATCTCATTTCACCACATCTGTATCCTTTGTTAGATAGTCACCAAGCAACCTTTGACTTGTCACCACCTTGCAGCTAATTCACTCCAAAATATCTTTGTTGGTGAAGAGGGGCATTGACATTTGACATAACACATTTATTTATACTTTTAATATATAATTAGATAATTTTTTTTAGGGAATGTGTAGTTATGAAATTATTTAAGTGTCGAATAAACAATAAATAAAAGATTTATATTATACGTGTTAATATTTTATGACAAATTTATCCTTTTTAATATTTTTAATATTTATTTTATAATTAAATATATTGTTATTTAATTTAATAATATATATATATATGTAATATTGTAAAAAAATTCATATAGACCAAATATAGAGTATATAAAAATTATAATTACATAAATAAATATAAAAACTAGTTTTTAAAAAAAAAATAAATAAAAAATTCACATTATAGAAAATATAAATCATTTTAATTTCTCACTAAATCATTGTGACAATCTTATAATTTTAGATAATATCATAAGATATCTTCATAAATTAAAAATTATATTAGTATATCGTAAATACTAAAATACTAATTCTAATATAACATTAGTATTTCAACATATACGATTTGAATAAAATTTATCAAATATCAATTCATACTTAAAAATATGCATAAGATCTTTAATACATATTTCAAATGTGTTCCCAAACCTATCATACGTCTAAAGATCAATAAATTTATAATCTTAATCTAAGATAAACAAAAGTCGTTAATCCATTAAGGTAATAAAATGGTTATTGAGTCGACCACACTTGATTATTGAGACGAGTATCAAAAATAAGATTGAGTTGGAGAGTATAGTTAGAAACATTTAAACATGAATGTGTCAATTAGTTTATCTAATAAAAATAATTTATCATAAAAGTTATGAATTCGAATCCCCCTTTCGTTACTTATCATTTTACATAATTAAAATATTAACTAATTTAATTAATAAAAGTTATGACAGTTTATCGAGTTTAAATTTTACCTTCATTATTTACTCTTTACAAATAAAAAAAAATTCAAATGAGAACTTTCAAAGATTAGAGGTATTTATATTGGGAAAGCATTTGCAAGTGCACATTGAGCTCCAAAAGATAATCTTTGTTAAAATTCTAGAGCCCACTGATGACTATTTCTCACTTTTTTTTTTAATTATTATTATCGTATTCCCTATTATATATTCTAATATCCTATTATGCGATAATAATTAGACATTAATTTGATTAGTATTTAGTACCACCGGACCCAAATTAATACTCATAAATATTTTTACCATTATAAATCAATTTATCTCTTCCGCCATATATATTTTCTTTTCTGAAAGGGCATCAAAACATCTCCATTCAGTCTCCTTCTATTAGAACAGATAAAAAAAAAGGAGATATTTTCATTTAACCCTATGAATAGATATATTTTTGAAGGCAATAATCTTATGAAACAAAATAATTTCATTTATTATAATATTAGGAGATATTTTATTTATTTATGACAACCTTCTTTTTATTTCCTTCATATTATTATGATGCATGTATATGGCAACCATTTCTTTTACTTATTCCCACATGCCACGTGAAAAGCACGCGCCATAAACCAGTTTGAACGACCCGACAGGGCAAATACATTGCTCTTTTCCCTGAATCGGCTGCGTTTCCTCGATCTCCTCCTCCCTCACCGAGACCTCCATCTCCCATCGTGATGGGTGCAGCAGCAATGGCGAGCGCCCCCGCTTGCGGCGCGATCCGGAGCTGGACGCTGCCCTCCTTGGTTGGCGCCTATCTGGACCTCGCCCTCGCCTACCTCTTCCTCTGCGGCGCCTTACTCACCTACCTCGCCTCCAAGTTCCTCGCCCTCTTCGGCCTTTCCCTCCCTTGCTCCTGTCGTGACGACTACCTCGTCCGCAAGATCGACGGCGTTCACGTGGCTGTCCGCGGGAGGTTTCCTTTCGATTTCGCCTGTCGTCATTGTCGCCGCCGCTGCTGTTGCTACGACGATGATGATGCTGTTAAAGATTGCGGTTTTGGAGCCGCCACTCGAGGAGTACCAGATATGAGAAGAGGAGGAGGGCAGCAAGAGGAGTCGTGTGGCTCTGTCTGGAAACCCAGTGCGTCGAACAGGTTGAAGCTGCCTGATGGAGCGGAATCTGGGAATTATTTTGGCAGAGACCAGATGGATGTTGTTAATGGAATAGATATTCTCCATGCTGAAACACCTCCGGCCGTTCACCGTCGGCAGCGACGGAGGAAAAGTATGATAGTTAGGAGGATATCTCCGCCCGCTTCACTTTCGCCACCTTTGCAGTTTGGATGGGAAACAGGAGGAACAGCCGACAGTCCCTTCAGCTGCAAACTGCAGCGGCGAGGGTTTGAAGACATCCCCTCACCTGATCGGATTTTAGGTGAGCATTCATAACTTGTTAATCTCCCGTCACACGTTCATAATTTCTTTAGTTACACTTTTGCTGATATTGAAATGCCTGTATGATTCGAAGCTTAATATAGAATGTGTGAAAACAAGCAACTTGCTAGCACAGGTTCTTTGTGTATCATGGCAGGGAATCATATCTCAAGCACCAAAACAAAGTTTACCGAGGACACTTCATGTGGCCTCAAGCAAGTTTGTGGATCTAAAGGAAATGAGTCTATCGTTATAAGAGATCTGAAAGAGGTGCTTGATCGAGAGCGCTCTGCTCTTGCTGCCCTCTATCTTGATCTAGAAAAAGAGAGGAGTGCTTCTGCTACTGCAGCTGATGAAGCGATGGCGATGATATCACGACTTCAGGAGGAGAAGGCTTCTATCGAAATGGAAGCTCGGCAGTTCCAGAGGATGGTCGTAGAGAAATCCGTGTATGACGAGGAAGAGATGGAGATTCTTAAGGAGATAATATTGCAGCAGGAAAGAGAGAAACATGTTCTGGAGAAGGAAGTTGAAGCATATCAGGCCATGATGTTCAATGATGGTGATGTTCAGCAGCCATTGGAGAATTATCAGATTGATGTGGCACAGCTGATGGGAGAGAATCTCTGTCCTTCCTTTGGCTCGTCCTATAACCCTGAACTCATGTTAGAAGAGATTCATAAATCCATTGAGAAAAAAGAAAAGTTGAAGGATAAAATGAAATTTCTTGATGATCGTGGGCATTTGGATGCTAAGAAACAGAACTCCATCTCTCATTTTGACAGGATGCCCATGTCGGTTAGTGTAGCTGAAAATGCAGTACAAAAGCATAATATGGAGAAGGTTCATCCAAAAACACCAGACATTGGAGATGAGTGCAATGTGCAGGACAAAAGCATGGTGACAATGGAAGGCTTCACATCTTCTATGCAGAAAGAAAGATCTGGCTATGAGAAATTAAGAAAATTAGATGAGTTGGAAGAAACCGGAAGTCATGAACTGACTTCCTGCACAAATGATGAAGATACTGCAAGAAATAGAAAAAATAAGACAGAAGTTCCTATTGGTGATTTATGTATGAGGCATGGTCAAAATACACCTAAAACAACTACTGAATCATTTCAGTTTGAGACTGATGCATCCGTTCTTGATGTACATGTTATAAATGATAAAACAGATCTAGATGGAAATGAAAATGTTGAACAGATGGACTTTTCCCAGAAGGGATGCACTTCAAGCACATATTACGAGTATAACACCACAAATGAACCATCCATGACAGATGTACTTGATGATCCTTCAACACCTGATTCAGATACAAGATGGACATATGTCGAACTGAATATCCATAGAAGCCATTCAGATAACACAAAGACTGGACACTCTATGGATAGTTCACGACAGAGGGCCTCATGGTTTCATCCAAGGAGGAGTTCAACATCAGCAGTCGACAATGAGAGATTTAAAATTGAAAATGAAGTTGAGGTCTTAAGAAAAAGGCTAAAGCTAATTCAACAAGGAAGAAAAAAGTTGAACTTGTCAGTGGAACAGAGGGAAAAGGAAGCCAACAATTTACAACTTTTAGATGAAATATCTAGTCAACTTCAAGAAATCAGAAAGGAAGCAAGACCTGGAACAAGCACACGCCAATCGTCTTTACCACCTTCATCTTCCAAGGTATGCCATTAGGATATGCAGCTGACATTCACATGATAAAGATTTGAAACTGAAATTTAATTTTCAGTTTCTGTATTTTCCTTGTTGCTTTTTCTTTAAAGTTTGACTTTTATTTTACACATCAATTTGTACATTTTTTTCTAATTGGACTTTCACAGTACTGGATATCAATCGGATGAGATCACCTCTACTAGATTTTTGCAGTGTTAGACTATCATGGTTTATCAAACTATAGGGTGCTGTCAACAATATGCCGCACATGTGCATATCATATCTTAACAAGAGTTCACTACATAGGCCCAATTTGGTTATACATGTAGATCTGTATCCACATCAAAGTCCACAAACTTAGGATGCTGTTCAGGATCTAATTAAGGATTTAGGACTGAAATCAGTATAAATCAGCTGAATTGATCAGATGTTGAATTATATCATAAAATTTCTTTTTGTTCCTTTCTTTCCCTTCCAAAATGACTGTATTTGGTGGGATCTATTGGAAATTCTTGAAAGCCACTGAGATCAATGGAAATTGGCATGATCATTTGATAACGTACTCGACTGCCACAATAGGTAGTATTGGACATTTCTGGTCATCCTTTGGTCCATCCGTATTGTCACGGACTTAGCTAGTTTTGCCTAAGTCGTGCGGCACCCTTACGTGTCCGTCTGCAAAGGTTAGCCTCCCTGAAGTCTCCCATGGTCCCTTATGACCTACAAAAGAGAAAACGGGTTAGAGAAAACGCCTTACTCGGGATCCACAAGCAAACATTTCGGAAAATACTTCATAGACAATGCAAATTACAAACAGACTTTACAAGCTCTGAACGGTTGCACAACAAAGGGTCAAAATGGTCCACTACAGACCGAATACCTCTCACAAGTGTCCACATGACACAACCTTTATTTACAAGCCTAAGAAGGCCACCAAACTCAACTAAAATGAGGCTTTTAAGCCTTTGATCGTCCCTCTACATGCTGTGCAAAGCATGAACAAACCAAAAGACACAGATATATATAAGTATTACATCAAACATCCTGTTTAGAACTTTGTCCATGACATTCTCCCCCACTTATTCCTTCGACGTCCCTGTCGAAGCCTTTTGCCGACACTGCAACTCCTCGCCTTTGCTGAGTTTTCAATCTTTTGCTCCAGTTGCAATGCACCTCTTGGCTCCCAGCTGCTATCCGCTGTTGTTGTTGAGTAGTCGAACTTTTGATCCCCTATGCTGTTTCAACTCGCCAATGACTTTGACTCTAGTGTGGGGTTGGCTGAGTTGTGTTGATCCTTGTTGATTTCTGCGGATCCTCCAGATGAAGGAAAAGACCATCCTTACTATGCGCTAGTCTCTCAAATACCACATGCTGCTTGAATTGGGTGGATGCTTGTTGGAGCTTTAACGAGCATCGCCTCGCAAACTTTCGAAGTTTTGGGTCCTTCCTCCACAAAATGTCCATCGACTCTTCTTTCATTTAGTTGTCACTTCTAAGTAGATTCACATCATTTCCGCTTTCGATTGACATTCTGTTGGGAAATGAAGCGGATAATCTACTCTCAGTAGCACTGATCACCTTTGGTGAGGATTTGACAACTATTGTCTTCCATTATTTTTGAAGGGTCTTTGAACCTATGCAGCGCTCCTCTGCTGGATAGATAAGAGAATTAGAGTACTCAGTTTCGCCCATTCTCTTAAGAGTTGAGAATGCAATGGTTACTTGACTTCGCCCGCCTCCTTAAGAGTTGTACTCCATGCATCGAGCTGGTTATTGACCTTCGCCTATTATTTGCTCACATTTCTAAAGCACTCGAAGTGTTTGCACTCCTTGCATTGAGTTTGCTACTGTGATTCACTTGCTCAATGCCATCGAACTTTTATAATGCAGGAAGTTTTCACCCCAACTTGGAGTAATTCTCTGATAGATTTGGTCGCTTCTGGGATTGTACTGTCTTCTCCATTAACCCTGCCGCCTATCGCATACTGCCTGCTTCGTTCCTTGGTCGTGCACTCTTGCATGACCCGAAGTCCTTCACTTTCGGCTATCTTGATGAGAAGCTCGTTGACACCGGTCTTACGAAGTTCCTTGGCCTCTACCCTTCAGCCTTATCTCGGTATTTGGAGTTTGCCTCTGCATGCTCCACCTCCTCAGCCCCTTTCACGACCAAGCGCTCTCCCTCCATGAGAGCAATGGATCAATGACTTTCACGGAAGTCCCGCCTATATGGGACCATGGCGTTGCCATGCCCATGGCCCTACTATCCGTCGCCTTGCATCTGCATCCCTTTTCTTCACAATCAGTAGATATGTCTCTGTGGCACTTCTCCGATTCCACCTCCATTCTAACTGATGCTTGATTTTGGGTAGCTAAGTCCCTCTGGACTTGTCGTCGCTTCTTCACCCCTTTCGACCCCATGCTTCAACACCTCTATATTCTTCGAGCAGCTCCATTTGGTCGTTAGAAAGACAGATTGCAACTCTCATGCATGGCCTCTGCCATCACGTTGTAGGGTTTGCACCGATTCTGTTCTCCTTAGCTTCCTTGGTAGCAACATTCGCTTACTCGACCTTGTCCTCTGACTTGCCGAGCTCCCTTAAACGAATATGGGCTCTAGAGCAGTCCAACTCTCTAGTTGCTTCGATCATACATCTGCATGATCAAGTCCCTCCCATGGGACTCACTAGTACTTGCATTCGAACTTTTCCCTCGGTAGAACACAACCCCCATATGCTGATAACCAAAGCTTTCATCTGATGCAAGATTCGATGCACACACGGAAGACCCGCCTCTGCGGTACCATGGCCTTCAATCCTTGAATCCATAGCCCTTCTTGCCGTCATGTTGTTCACCGAAGTGGAGCTTCCAGTAGCTCCTGATCATACCTCTGTATGATATAGTCCGTCACGGGACTAGTCATGTGTATCGCATTGCCACGAACAGTTCCTCCACGATCCGCTGCACCATGTCACCTCCTGGTGACATCTTCATTGCATTCTGATCCTAGTGGGATGAACTCGAATTGTGATCCCTCCATGTGTGGCCTTTACCAATACATCGCAGGGTCTCTTCCACCTTCGATTTTGTTCGCTCCTTTGGCAATCGACCTTTATCCACCCGCTCTTGGGTCACACCTAGATGAAGCACCGCTCTAGGATAGTCCGTCGCCTAGTAGCTCCCGAAGTCCACCGACTTCGCTGAAAATGGTGCACCATTGTCTGGATCCTGGGCCTTTGCCCCTACTAGCACAATCTTCGCTGCGCACCGCTTCCTTTATGGCAACTTGAATGACAACATTGTGGTATATTCTTCAAGAGTACTTGCCTCCGCGTCCTCTTGCCCCGTACCAAGGTTTTCTGAACCCAACTCCGCCTCCTCAAGTTGAGTCGCCTTAGTTCCTCCATCAAATGCTTCTTCGAGATAAGGTGCATGTGCCCATAAGCTCTCTTTGTCTTTGGCACCATGAAAGATGAGTTCGCTCCATCAGAATGAAAGACCCATGGAACAACATGATCATGCTCTTGCCTCTGCAAGAGTTCATGTCCTTGACCTCTGTCCAAGGAAAGCTCTGTGCCTCCACTCCATGTTCCATCTTATATGTCGGCTCCCTTCATGCGGCTTGGGTACTTCACTAAGTTACACCCAAGTTGCTTTGCTCCTCGTTTTTGTATTGAGTTGATGGTGGCCTTCGCGCCCACCATTCCACGGGTCAGCCCTCCTTTGAGTCTGATCTCTATATCGACTCCAAGTGTACCTTCATTTGTGTTGTATTGGGTCGCTCCCCACTTGATCTCGCAATGCATCCACCAATGCATTCTTTCAAGGGAGATCATGCGACGACTCCTTGCCGCTCGTTTGGTCCATTGAGCTTCGTGGAGTTGTTGTTTTTGAGCTACTCCTCAATATGTGTGGTCTGTTACATATGATTTTC